GGAGCAATCTAAGGCGCGTTTTACCACTTAAGGCTCTTTACCTTTTAGTTGACCTTTGGTCGTCTTAGCCCCCCCCCCCCCTTCCTCATCACCGTTTTGGCTTACGGGCTCAATGACTCTCTAAAGAACCCATGATGATTCTCCTGGATAAGAGACCTGCGCAACAGGTTATCTTAAATGGGCTCATAATTGCCTACCTAGATGTTCAATTTCGATCTTACGAACTTCTTCTAGACGCTGTCACTCTACTGGAATTTCAGAGTTCCGAAGCGGGCCACCTGAAAAATGCAGCATCAAAACATAATATTGTCCATTTTTCGACCAACCTGAGCCTCGACGTAGACAGAGCGCCTCCCTGCCTCCCCCTCCCCCACCCCTCCTTCCCACATCCTCAAACGATGCGTCGGCATTATTCTCCCGCGCGGTCGATACTCTGATCAAGTATCCATACTCAGATGCAACCGAGGAGGGCTCACACTCCAGATTTACAAGCCAACGAGTGCGTGGATGTCTCACCCGAGGTAAGGAGCACCAGACCATCATGGGGATAGTATAACTCGGAGATCACTGGCATCATCATGCAGTACAAAGCTGCCACCCCGAAAGCAAGTCAGCACCGGGTTACATAAAGGTGGCCTAGGAGCCGAAGTCGTTATCCGCTAATATGCAAGACACCAGTGGCAGCAGATGACTGGTCTAAAAGATGGCATATTTCTGTATGAGTAGCTGAGGCTGAAACGGTATACAATAGACTACATTCGTCTAGAGTGTAGGAAAGAGAGTATTCCGCCCGCCAGAATGGAGATGATGGTCACAATCGGGAATAGGTTTACCTCCATTGTGTTTGCGACTGCAGCTGTCCTGTTCCTTGTAGGATCCTGGCGGGATAGCGGGGAATTAAGGATGCATGTTACCCTTTCAGGAAGGTGCCCATAGTTTTATGATAATATGACGCCAGCCCCGCCATAAAACAGTCTTCGATGGACGCCGTTGACTGTCAGAGCTGCGTGCGACGATATGTAGGCGATTCATCATCAAACGACTGCTCCACATTTGTATGGAGGGTTGAACTGATATTGCCATTTTCAAGATCAATCCCTGTAGTTAACAGTCATGTCTTTTTTAAGACTTCAAACCGTTTTGTGTCTGAGGTGACGCAACTGAACTTCTGCTGCCTATTGCCATGAAAATTCTACCCAAACGCGTATGACAGCAAGAAACGGCACGCGAAAACCAGACCTCGTTAGCTGTGTTGTGGTCATGGTCAAGAACTGGATGGCCATTTAAACGTTGGTGTTTGTGCTAATGCAGTATCAAATGTCACAACGTTAAAATACGGCTGTCTCATAAATAACACAGTAGTAATAGCCTTACTTCTCGGAGAAAAAAACAGGAGAATGGATATATAGTAAGGGTGATATTTCGGTAACATGCCTTTATCGAAACACTAACAGAAGTGAATCTAAAATCGCCTGCCGATGATCCTACTTGTTTTTCAGGTTTTTTTGGAAAGAGCACACCACAGCTTTTACAGGACACCGACATTCAGGGGATTAGATAAAGAGCGATTGCCGGCCATTAACACGATACAGTGCCTATCTCGGAATTATAATACGCGACCATGCTTGTACATGCAAATGAATTCAAGCAAATAAGCATCACGCATCCCGCTTCATTCAAACATGCAAGCGACGTTAAGTAAAGAGGCATCACACATCGCGCATCAATTATACATGTAAGCGATTTCAATTGAACATGCCCCGCACATCATGCGTCAGGCACCACTTACACATGTAAACGATTTTAAGCTAACACACATCACACATAATGGGACATATCACGTTCGCATAATCGGCTATGATGAGCTCTGTATGTTAAGATTTTGTCGTCGACTTTTATAAGAATAGATCCACTTGTTTTCCTGTCTGGGTGGTCCTGTGCTCTGTAGATGACTTTGAGCTCTAAAAGGAGCATGGGGTTCAAACCTTCCTTGATTTTAGCCAGGGCGTGCTTTGCTCAAAAATAGGTCACCGAAAGGGGCATTCCCTGTTTTGTTTTTGACGTCTCGCAGGGGTTCATTACATCTCAAAGGAATAGGGCGCATGGACTCCCCGACATAGAATATGTCCGTTCTATGTTTTCATACAGTCTTCAGCTGATTTCGTAAACCACGTTTTTTTGCGTGCAAAACCTTAGAAACCCAGAACTCAATAAACGACATCTGCTGTCACCTGGGCACTTGGGATTCGGGTTGGAATATTTCATCAGAGACCTTTTATCTTATTGTCGCTCTTCCAAGCTATGCGTGCGCGCAGTTCTGATTTTTTAACAACGTGTTTGCTTTCCAAAGCAAATATTCATCTATGTAAGGTGGCATTATGAATCCGTCTTCCGATAGGACGTGTTTCCGCCTCCTACCACCCATCCCTCGCGCTCTAGCCTTTTTTACTTTTTCCAAAATGTTACCTAAAAGTCGCGGCGAATATGATGAGTTGTTTAGAGCCCTGTGGAACATGTTACGAATTGTGTTGTGCTTAGTGGAGGTTGGATGCACAGATTTGCAGTGCAGAATTATATTAGAGTTGGTGGGCTTGATAAAGAGCTCCGTTTCTAACGTTGTGTGGCTGTTCCTCCTTTCCACCGTCACTGGCGTATCCAAATATGGAACCCACTCTCCGTCCCCTGTATGCTCCTTCGTAAAAGCTTGATTTGGATGCTGGTTGCTCATGAACTCTAAAAACTCTTAAACGGCACGCTATCCGTGCGTCCATGCCCCAGCATAATCATCGATGTATCTAGCTAAGAAAGTTGGTTTTAATGGGCTGGCGGCCAGGTCCTACGTTTCAAATTGGTCTCAAAATATGACCGACAGAGGAGGAGCACATGGGTTCCCCATTTCTATTCCCAAGTTTTGTCGGTGGAAGTCATCTCCGAGCGAGAAAACATTGTCCTGGAGACACTGCTCTAAAAAACAGCAGATGCCTTCTTTTGATTGACCGAAAACATCAGTTTCAGCGTTCAATGTTACTCGCTAATGCACTGAACAACTAACAGCTGGCTCATGGTTAAATGGCTAATGGTCAGATGGCTAATGGCCAAATGACTATTGTCCAAATGGTGCTGCTGAATGCATATCTCGATAATTAACCGCGTTTCGCCATAACAGACATTTTTCGCTTACAAGCATACCAAAGTTATAAATCGGCTTTGTCCTTCACATCTGATGCTTGTCTTAATATTTTCGGATGTGGAACAGTTCGTTTAAAGGTTCCTCATTTCAAGATACTGAGGCAAACATCAGATATGTTAAAATAAGCTCTTTTAGAACTTTTGGCATGCCTTTTATTGAAAAAGTCTGCTCTAGACAACGCGGTGTATTTGGCTGGTAAATATACTCCTCAATGCGCTATTGTTTGATTACGTCATCTTATCTTACACGACATTGGTTGAGAACCATTTGACGGTCATCATATCATATAATGAGTCCATTCCAAAGTTAAGGAATTGGGCTTACGAACGCCAGATATGGCAGCTCGATAATTACTCTTTTCTTGGCATTGGCCGCCGCATGGCTGATGGAATGACAGAATTTGAATAAGTTATTATAGTGTCATGGATACCCGAGTGACCCTGAAATCGTTTCCCCGAAAAAGTCTGCATATCTTCACGGGCATATAGCTAAGAAACTAGAGGGGTTTAATTATCAAGAAGGACACCCCTGTGAACAGCACCGCATGATCTTCAAGATGACTATTTCAGTTCAAAACCCTAAGGAAATGTGAAACGCTCCATTAAAGACTCTCCACCAGTGCGGTGCTAAACTCAGCTTGTTGGTTTTTGTCAGAAGACGCCCTGTAATGGGACGACGAATGTGTGGGAGGATGTCCCCAGAGCTGGTGGACAGCTCTCGGGAGTGTGCTGAAGGACTCATAACAGGAGGATATCACTGCAGTGTTAGGAGGGCACATCTCGCCACTGCCCGGGACCTGTCACCAGCGCGTGTCAGAAGACATTCTGCGAGCGGCGAGGGACAACAGCCCAGCAGTGCTCATCGGATAACATCCCGGCAATTTTAAAGACCGTCTCGCCAGGCGCATATCGGAACACGTCTAAACGGTGCCAGAGGACACCTCACCGGCGCCAGAAGACACCCCACCGGCGCCAGAGCACATCCCACCGCGCCAGAGAACACCCCACCAGCGCCAGAGGACACCCCACCAGCGCCAGAGAACACCCCACCGGCGCCAGAGGACACCCCACCGGCGCCAGAGAACACCCCACCGATGCCAGAGGACACCCCACCGGCGCCAGAGGACACCCCACCGGCGCCAGAGAACACCCCACCAGCGCCAGAGAACACCCCACCGGCGCCAGAGAACACCCCACCAGCGCCAGAGGACACCCCATCGGCGCCAGAGAGCACCCCACCGATGCCAGAGGACACCCCACCGGCGCCAGAGAACACCCCACCGGCGCCAGAGGACACCCCACCGGCGCCAGAGAACACCCCACCGGCGCCAGAGGACACCCCACCGGCGCCAGAGGACACATCACCAATGTCAGGGAACGCCTCACCGCGGTTAGAAAACGTCCTGCCAGCGTCGGAAGACGACCCGCCAGGGTCGGAGGATGTCCCGACAACGTCGCAGGACGTCTCACCAGCGTCGGGGTGCGCCTCGCCAGGGTCGGGAGACGTCCCGCCAGGGTCGGAGTGCGCCCCGCCAGGGTCGGAGTAGGCCCTGTCGGGTCGGAGGACGCTCCGACAGCGTGGGAGTACGAACAACAGCGTCGGAGGACGTCTCGCCGGCGTCGGAGGACGTTCCGACAGTATCGGAGGACTCCCCCAGCGACACGCCGCGACACGGCGTCGCCGGCTGGGATCGGCGGGCACGGGGCAGCGGCCGACCGGACTTCTGCACGGGTTGCCCGGTCGGCCGGCCGGATTGAGGCCCAGCACAAAGCCACCGGGCACGGCAGCTCTGAATCACAGCCCAATGGTCTGATTGGTGGACGGCGTATATAAGGCGCGCCGCCAGCAGTCTAGTCGCATTCGTGTCACATCCCGAAGTGAACGCGCACTCGGTCCGAAGCAGCCATGAAGACGGTGAGTGACTAGCAGAGAAACGTGATCAGGATTGCCACCTCTGCGGTTATCGTCTGCTTGACGAAAAAGATACATTAATATGCGTTGATTCTGGGACGATCTGTCCAGAATTTTGGTTAGTTTTTTAGGTGAAGTTCGTCATCGTTTCGTTGCTTCCATTTCGCTGGTCTTTCGAGCGTTGTCACGGGCCTTGTGACTTCTGAAAGTCCAAGAGATGTAAACCATATTTTGATCAAGCGACTGCTGATATACTTCAATCAATTTTGCCCTGTTGATTTTGAGGCGCGTGGTAGATACTTGCAGTTTCTTTGACTAGCTTAAAAAATGAATTCAGGCATGGAAATTGTACTTCACGATTCTTTGCCAGCTTTATAGATGCGGTTGTGGTAGCTTGATTTGAATAACATACGACCTTGCACAAGACAGTCGTTTTGTCCTCGAAGAGTAGAGCTGCATCAGACAGTTTAAAAATAATTGCGCTGAAAAGGAAGCCTGGGCCTTTTTCGTCAATTCTTAGTGGAAATGATCTGTTCATCGTTGGCGCCGACAAAAAGCAATCTTCCAAATCTTCAACGTTTGGCATAACAATGCATTTAAAATGAGAATGAGCCGCATGCTGAGTGTAGATGTTGAGTTTGAAGCCAATTGAATCTCCTTAGGGAAGCATGACACCTGCACATTAGTTGGAATGTATCGACTGTCAGGAACTTCATATGCTTTGACACAAAAGGCGAGAATTCATTTTAACTGTGCAGAAAATCTGACGAAATTTTCCCGTCTTAGACTTCTAGAAGCGAATAACCGACGGCCCTCGAGCACAACTTTTTTCAATTTATGGATGCGGTTTAATGACCACCATATATTAACAACCGCATGCTTAAGGTGCTCACCACTTCATGTCTACCCTCATCAGCTAGTGTACATCTTCGCCACACAACGACACAAGGAACTAGCTCTCCGTCATCATGTCCACGCGCACGACGCAGAGCTCATCATCACCTGCACCGTCCACTGTCCCGTCAACGTCATTGACGCGACCGTTCGCGCGGTCCGGCCGGCGCCTACCCGTGCTGCCAGCCCACTGCACTCTGGCCTGACCCGGCGTCTGCACCCAGGTCATCGCACTGTGCCTGCTGGCCCTGGTGGCCGCCCAGAACGACAGGGATGCCGAGATCCTGAGGAACGACTTTGAGCTGGACGCCGAGGAAGGTTCCTACCAGGCCGAGTGAGTTTCTCGACCCCTTTGCGGTCCGCGTCCGAAAGGGCAGGGACGCAGCAGAGACGCATTGCACCGACACGCGTTAGGGCAGAGACGCATTGGACCGATATACGTTAGGGCAGAGACGCATTGGACCGACATGCATCAGGGCAGAGACGTATTGGACCGACATGCATCAGGGCAGAGACGCATTGGACCGACATGCATCAGGGCAGAGACGTATTGGACCGACATGCATCAGGGCAGAGACGCATTGGACCGACATGCATCAGGGCAGAGACGTATTGGACCGACATGCATCAGGGCAGAGACGTATTGGACCGACATGCATCAGGGCCAGAGACGCATTGTGACCGACATGCATCAGGGGCAAGAGACGTATTGGACGACATGGCATCAGGGCAGAGACGCATTGGACCGACATGCATCAGGGGCAGAGAGGACGTATTGGACCGACATGCATCAGGGCAGAGACCGCATTGGGACCGACATGCACTCACGGGCAAGGAGGCGTATTGGACCGACATGCATCAGCAGAGCGAGACGTATTGGACCGACATGCATCAGGGCAGAGACGTATTGGACCGACATGCATCAGGGCAGAGACGTATTGGACCGACATGCATCAGGGCAGAGACGTATTGGACCGACACATGACAGGGTAGGAACCCATTGGACCGGCATGCGTCAGAGCAGAGATGCATTGGACTGACGTGTGTCAGGGCAGAGACGCACTGGACTGACATGTGTCAGGGCAGAGACGCATTGGACCGACATGCATCGAAGCAGAGACGTATTGGACCGACACACGATAGGGTAGGAACCCATTGGACCGGCATGCGTCAGAGCAGAGACGCATTGGACTGACATGCGTCAGAGCAGAGACGCATTGAACCGACATACGTCAGGGTAGAGACTCACTGGGCCGACACACGATAGGGCAGGGACGCATTGGTTCGACATACGAAAGGGCAGAGACACGTTGGACCCGAGTTCGACAGGGCATGGACGCACTGGATACAATTCCGTGCCGGGACTCATTATACAAACACCGTTCAATGAATCTCTGAATAGGTTTTCACTACAGCCATCGGTAAAGTAAACCAACAGAATGATTGGCAGATAAGTTAATGCTATTTAGGCCTATCAGGCGGAGTAGTACCATACCCAGCGCATGGACATATAAATCGGAGGGGAGCGGTGCAGGAATGCCAACAACACTCAGCAAACCAATCACGGACACACAAGTCACACTTTACCCGTAACAGATTGTGGCAGCTAGTGAAGACAGTCGCGTCCGCGCACAGTGGTCCCTCGTCCTCCGCCTACGCTTCCACACACCGACACACCAACGCACTGACGCACCCACGCCCCGCGTCGGCCACTTAGGCTTTCCCGAAAGGTTTAAAAAAGTTGTGTGGAAAGAGCAGACTTCAAAAGGAGTATTGAGCCTTCCATTTCCCGACATTTCTGCGCCTTTCACCGGTAATATGCTGAATTCGCTTTACAGTTAGGTGCACATGGAAAAACGATAATGCTCTCACTAACAATCATAACACCAATGAACCCATCTTGTGTTTCGTGACATCGTGGGTGACAGAACCGAGGAAGATGATTAACAAACAGTCACACAGCAAAAAAACAAAAACAACAACTTTAAATCTGAGTGTTGGTGTACGACCCATCTCAAAGTGGTCGGTAATACATTGCGTGATATTGTTTCATGTATAACTGACTACGGTTAATCCAGGCAGCAAGCTTTTGTCATTTTGGTAGAGCAGCATTTTCAGGATCAGAATGGGAATGTTGGGCTGGATAACACATTCACGCAAATGGTTTTTGTATCGAAGCGCTTCCTCAATTAGAATTAAGAACATTTGAATTCACCAGCACGGAGAAGTATCTCAGAACAATGATCCATCTAAAAAAAGATAAGAACACCAGCCAGTGCCGGTTCACAAAACTCCATATCTTAAATATTTACCTGGATATCATAAATTTACTTCCACTTTAAACATAAATCTATGCCTTGTTTGTGTTTTGTGGTAAATGTGAACAGTCATCGGTTCTTTAGTCCACTCGGCTGCAAAATTCCTATGCTGCACGCCATTGTTTGATGTTGTGAAATGTGGCCCCGGCAATCGAGACTTAAAGGCATTGCTCCTTTTACGAAGAAAATGGGCCGCTAAGACGAAGGCTTTGCCCATCTGTGAACCAACCGACCAAACCATTATTCCGTTTCAGCATGGAGACGTCGAACGGAATCCGTATGCGGGCCAGCGGTATCTCGTACCCGGGAGCTGAGCCCGAGACGGGCTCGTACTTCGTGGAGGGCGAGTACTCGTACATCGACAGGGACGGCAACACCGTGCTCGTCAAGTACACCGCCGATGAGAACGGCTACCAGCCCGAGTCGGAAATCCTGCCCTGAACAAAGTCACAGCCGCCTTCCCCCCGCCTTCACTTGATTCCGCCGGCCGTCTGTCAGCTGCTGTCTCTGGAAATGTTCATCGCTGAACTCTTGCTTTCGCGGCCGAATGTTGATCGCGTCGCTCTGTGATATCTGGAAACTTGAGTTTCCGGGGTGAACGCTAGATGTCGCCAGCAGACTCCTCGTCCTGGATCCGATGTCACTCTGTCGCGCGAATACAGTTACCACGGATGGTAATTTAATCGACCGGCTGAAATGAGATCGCACCGGCAGGATGGCTTCAGCGGCGATGCCCCTGTGCCAGGCGGCTGCTTGGCAACGTGTGCGCCTGTTAGCGACGTCTCGTCCCGAATTGCACCGTAATGAGACAAATTGCAGCAGAGTAACGGAGCTCCGTCATGCCTCGTCGCACCATGTACGGTTGGCCACAGACTTACGAAGGTTACGCGATACGTCACGTTTGATCCACCGGCTCAACCGGGGAATTAAGGGATAACTCCATCGCCGTTCGAAATCATCGTCGCACCTCGCGGTCAAGCCGCAATAGCCGTGCACCGCCGGCCTTGGGGGCTCGCGGCAAGAACTGGCCGTCTTATAAGCCCAACAGGCGCTGGAAGGGTGTCATCGCCAGCAAAGACGAGGCTCTGTCGTTTTCCGTACACGTCAGACGACAAACACCAACGCAGCCACGGACACGAGAATGCCATTTTTGAGTGATATCACCAAAGCTGGCGTCTGCAGACCGCCAACAGTCGGACGCCCTCACAAACCGACGCTTACACCGTGGCGCCGACGGAGGGGAGGGGAGGGTGAGGAGTGATGCCTTCCATCACTACCTCCGACAATCGGCTACAGCGATAATTCTCCCGAATTGGTACGCTGCTGATTTGGCGATACGCAAAACGTGACTGGCCGGCCGCCCCAATCGCGCATCGATCGCCCTTCAGCTGACAGATCTGGTTTCGGTACTTTCTCTCCGAGAACCGGCGAGACGAGACCGCTAATCTCCGTCCCGGTTTATGATTACCTTGTGGTCGCACTGCTCACGAAGATCCCGCCGGTCACGCGTCAGGCCTTCGGCAGTGCTTCACGCAACCGGCCGGCCACTGACACGATGCCGAGGCTGCCATCAGTAGTGGGCTGGGAGGCTTACAAACGCTGAAAGACGCTCGCAGCAGTTCGAACAGCGTGGTGAAGCTTTTTCGAGCATTAAACTCATTAATTAATGAATGGGTATTTTAAAAAGTAGCCCTTGTAGAGAATAGCACGCCAGAAGAATTTGCTAAGCGGATGCTAAACATGGCTACTGAAATTAACATTCAATGAGCACTGACAACGCAGCCGTACACTGCGGTGCATATGACAAAGTCTTGTCCAGACTACCTGAAACCTCTCTACATTTTGCTTGCAACTTCAATGTAAGAAAGTATGGTTTCGATTACTTAATCATAAATGGGATTATTCCGGTGTAAGTATAAATCTAAAACAAAAATTAGCTTGCTTACTGAACCTGTTAAATGATTCGTAATCATCACTAGATGTACACGCGTTCAGGGCCACTCGAAAACTCGTACCATATCTGATGACTATAAAGCTGTACTCTTGCCTGAGAAGATGTGTTTTATCAGTTCAATCCGATCAACGCGGGCAAAAAGTAAATGTTCCGAGTGCCTTAACCGCAGTGATGCATGAGGGCTTCCTTTTTTGTGAGGAAGCTCGGCACACCAGAGGCTTGGTGGGATGCCTTTGTGATAAAACCGCGAGCAGCGAGCATGGCATGCCATGGTGACTACACGCACCGATCAAGATACCGTCAACTGTAGACGCCGTAGAAGCACTGCTGAAAGAACAAATCGCTGCTAACGATGGCAGTGTATAAATACCCTGAGATGCCATCAGCATACTTTTCCAGACTAGCCCGTAAAAACTGCTTACAACTTATACCACAAAAGCATCATTCCATGCCCACGACTGCCAGCCATATGAATACCTTGGTGGTGCTACTATGGAGTCGACATGAGTGTCAGTTTTTTTGTAAACTTGGATATGACTAATATAAAGACTTCCGTGGTTTCAGACCGGCGTCTGAAGCCGAACACATGTTGAAGGTGTGTGGCCGAACTTTTTATGAAAGTCAACGGTGAGCAACAACCCTTAAAAACATCTCGCACAAGGCTAGTTTTGATGCATTTTTCAGCAGCGATTTACGCAGCGCTTGTTTAGAGCACTTAAGCACCTGAAATATCAATTACTTTACATTTCCAATCGGCACCAAACAAAAGCAAACGCTGTTGCACTTTGAAGCCGTTCGATGATGTTAAAATGATACAGGTTAAAAATGAGACCAGGACATCTGATCGAATCTCATTTATTGTTTGTCACTAACATACTAAACAAAAATCACTGGTCGCGAGGGAGGCCGCCGGTCGGTAGAGCTTTCCTTAACGTCAACTGCACATTTTGTGGGATGAGGCCCTCGGCTGGGCCCGGACCATCACGAGGACAAAAGTGTGAGTCATTGTTTGCAGTCCAACCGTGAACCACGCCTGTGCCAGTTTCCAGGTGTTTGTAATGACATGCATCAGGGCTCGGCAACCATAGAATGTCGAGACGTGGAACCAGCTGTGCGACTTTGGCGAACGTGCACAAATCTTTGAACAATCTTAACACTTTCTATCTCACAGCAGCGCCAGTAGCGGAGTGGGAAGCCTCCAACGTTACCTTTCAGGTAGTGACTTCACCACATCGGACCACGCAAACTACTTAAGCGCGCAGTCCAGATTGTAGTTACCTATAACCACCAAACATATCACCGCTTTTCCAAAGCGTTTTTCAGTTGCCTCAGCCACCAAAAATGTGAACGATGTTATATTGATTCACCTATCAATTGATATTGCCAGATATTGGCCGGTGCAAGCCATCAGATGTTGTTATTTTGATTTAATCATTTCATTAACACTGTCAGGTTATGGTTAATATGTTTTCCTCAGTCACGACTGACCATGAGCATTGTCTTAAAACGTCGAGCTTTCTCACAAAACGATTGTACCAAAATGATCTCACAAAATGAAAATACCAGTGATTGCTCAACACGTCGGTAAACAGCACGCTTTGGTATATTGAAGATCTGCTATTTTCAAAATAAACAAAAAAAAAGTGGAAAATAGGGTATTCCAATTTACTGATGTTCCTATTCACAGAAGTTCCCACAGGCGACAGGTCCCATTCGCCGATGTTTAGGTATCGTCCACACGGTGACAATCGCGTGTGTTATCGTGCAGGTCATTCCATACGCCGAAGGCGTCGTCCGGGTTATAAATGTCGCAGTTATCTGCCTTACTTGTCTCGAACCAGCCTAAAAACTCCTGGTGTAGCAGTTTTCAGCTGACCATAGCACACCTCTGACGATGATCGGGTGCAAGAGACAATGCAAGGCAAGGAATCCAGGTATTATCGCATCAGTTTATTTGCCCGATGAAGTCTGTCTGCTTTGAACGTCAAACTTGCCCACGTTGACGTGACTACAAACGGCGTCTCGAGACGCCTCGATCATACCGATGCGCCCGAGATTGGGAGCTCCAAGAGATTGCATGACCGGACAACATCAGCGAGCCATTACACACGGAGCCACCCGGCAACACATGCCAGCACACAAGCATCGAACGAGAGCGGTGGCGTCGCACATCGGCGACTTCGCGTCATCGGGGCTTTCAGTTTGCTCACCTTACTATGTGAGTGAAAACTGAGCTGAATTGACACCGGCTTAACTTGGCTAGAACAGTCAATTATGCTCTCCATCGCAGCAATCGGTATTGGTTCCATGACCAACAACTCCACTGCCCGAACCCTCGCAAATTAACCTTGATAACTCAATGGCCGTAAGAGAGCATTGCCGATCCGTTGCGATGACGAATCAAAAGGCATTTGGACGGACCCCCTTCAAAGTACCACCATGTGGCTATTGTTCTTCCATTCGTCCGAGCTGCAGCTAAAACTGCAGCATTATTACAGCATAGGGAGAACATTTACGGCAAAAACGAAGACGACATCGGAATTGGCTGGGACGGCCAGAACTTAATAGCTATGGAGCTCATAAACGTGAGTTGTGTAGGCTCAATCTCTAAGCCCGATGGGCTGTCGCCGCTGGTGTGTGACACACTCTTCAAATATGCCGTCCTTGAACATGGTAAATAACACGAATTTATCGCGCTAAGGAAGCCAGAAAACCAAGCAGCCCTCTCAAACGAAAAGCCCACAACGGCCAGCTGAATTCCTGTGTCTTTCCTTCGGAACGCGATGCTTCCGTTTGGGAACAGCTGCCGTGGAAATAGCTGTGTCCTTTCCACCCCAAGGTGGATAGAGATATTAAGAAATCATTTCAAAAAGATAAAAATAAATATGGCAAACACTGTACAGACATGCTACGTTGCCAGGGTCATTTTTTGAATCCCAGCAACTTGTGAAACGATTTAACGAAGTTTAAACACGGTTCGTAATTTTGAATAGAATGCTTGGCAGACCGCAGGTTCTATAATTACCACGTGGATGCTTGGCGATCAAGCAACAGATCTCCGGAAGAATGTGCTAATCCGATGAAGCGGAACTGAGAGTTTTAAAGGTAATGAAGTCTGTTAACCCAGAATTTTAATTGCGCACAAAACCATTTTTGCCATCTTGCCTGAGAGAAAAATGTTATGACGCTATTAACCTTCCAGATGCATGGCTACCAATCAACATTCTGTTCATGATGAAAATGCATGCGCTGTTAATAACTACGTCTAGTCTGAAAAAGAAGTTAAGTAACATTTTTCCGTGAACAATGGACGTTTTGACCTACCGATTGACATTGACCCTGCAAGGGATCTAGTATTAAAACAAATGGGTCGAGCCATGGGAGAAAAAATGCGGTAGATCCCCTCTCAAGGAAATTCAGCTTCTTATCTGACATATGCACCATTACCTAAAGGCAGTGATGCATCGATCCCAGACAAAACGATACGTCAGGCCAGAGAAATGGCTGCGAAGGTGTACTGCAAGAGATCTGAAGCCTGGCTGGACGAATGGGTCATGCTTCACGACCATCGAGTGCGAGGCGCGGAGGGGTTGCGTCACCCTACGTGTCAGCATGTGCATGAGCCGGCTTGCACCATATCTGCGAGTATGGGCTTTTCTGGACGTGCGATGGGAGAAGGAAGCCCCTCATGGCTTCTTTGTGCTAGTGGGGGAAAGCCGAATCCAGTATGGTTTTCTATTCCCAGAACGATCTAGTATGACTAACCCTTAAACATAAGAAATGAGGATTATTATGATAATGATGATTTAGGAGGGACAACTGTGGACAAGAAAACAGCTTCTCAG